CCAGAAAATAAGCTTAAAGATATAGAAATATGCAATTTAAATGACAGAATTCAAGATTGCTCTTCTGAAAAAAACTCAATGAGAGGCAGGAAAATTCTGATAGGCAGTTCCAATAACATAGAAACAAAATTAATGAACAATGAGAATACTTTACCAAGGAGATTGAAACTCTAAAAAAGAACCAAATAGAACTTCTGGAAATAAACAACTCATGAAAAAAGATGAATAATGAAATAGCAAGCCTAGGAAACAGAACTGACCAGATGGAAAAAAGAATGAGTGATATCAAAGAGAGAAATCTGGAAATGATGCAGATAGAAGAAGAGGGAGACTTGAGAGAGAGAGAAAAATAAAAGAATTCTACAACAACTACCTGACACCATCAGGCAAAGCAACATAAGAATAATGCATATACCAGAAGAGGAGAGGACAGAGGGAGCAGAGAGAATATTCAAAAAAATAGTTGATGAGAATTTCCAAAATCTATGGAAAGAACTGGATTTCTGAATTCAAGAAGCAAAAAGAACACCCAATTAACTCAACCCAAAAAGGCCTTCTCCAAGAAACATCATATTAAAATTGGCAAAAATTAATGACAGAATTAATTTATTTCTTCATTAAAAATTAATGAAAGAATTCCAAATGCAGCCAAAAGAAAAAAGACAGTAATCTATAAAGGAAAACCCATTAAATTATCATCAGACTTCTCAGCACAAACCTTGTAAGCTAGGAGGGAGTAGAACCAAATATTCAAACTACTGAAAGAAAGAAATCACCAGCCAAGAATAATATATCCAGCAAAGCTCTCCTTTACATATGCAGGAGAAATAAAGGCATTTTCAGACACACATAAGCTGAAGAAATTCTCCACCATAAGGCCTATATTACAGGAAATACTGAAGGGGGTCATTTAACCTGAAACAAAGGGGAAAAATACATAACAATATATAAGAAGACCAACAGGCAGACAGAAGCAGGAAAGTGCAACCCTTATTAAGATCAGGGTATAATAAGCTTAAATATCACATAATGGTTAAAGATTAAAAAATACTTTAAAAAGAAAAGAAGACAACAGCTACTGCAACTTACAAAGAAACATACAGCATAAAGAGGGAAAATGCAAGATGACAGAAACAGAAAAAGGGAGGAACTAAAGGTCTGAATCTGCAAAGGAAAATGGAAATAAGGCACACACAGAAGAAAAAAGATTACTGTATGTATGTGTGTATATGTGTATGTGTATGGTAACCATACATGAAACTCCAGAACTCAGACACATAACATAAAAAAATAAAACACAGAACAGAGGGAAAAATCATAAAACATCAACAAATGAAAATAACAGACAAAACACAAGGACAAAGAAACAATGGAGACACTGAACTACAACAAAAGAAAAGATAAAATGATTATAAGAAAACATCATATTTCAACAATCACCTTAAATGTAAATGGACTGAACTCACCAATAAAAAAGCACAGAATTGCAGATTGGATCAAAAAATGAAACCCAACCATATGATGCCTTCAAGAGACACATCTCAGCTGCAAGGACAAATATAGACTGTGAAAGGGTGGAAAATGACATTCCAAGCAAGTGGCATCCTAGAGAAAGTGGGTGTAGCCATACTTATATCTGACAAAATGGACTTCAAGATAAAATAGCTAATGAGAGACATGATGGACACTTCATAATGATAAAAGGAACCACACATCAAGAAGACGTAACACTTATTAATATTTATGCCCCAATCAGGTAGCCCTGCAATATATAAAACATTACTAACTGAACTATAAGGGGTAACTGACAAAAACACAATTATAGTAAGGGACCTAAATACCCCACTGTCAGCTACAGATAGATCATCCAAACAGAAAATCAGTAAATATCAACCTTAATTGACACATTTCACCAATTGGACATAATTGAAATTTACAGAGCCTTTCATCCCAAAACAACATTCTTCTTTAGTACATGAAACAGTCTCAAGGATATACAATATTTTGGGGCACAAAAGTAGCCTAAACATTTTTTAAAAGACTGAAATCATACCAAGCATATTCTCTGTCCATAATTCTTTGAAACTAGAAATCAACTATAAAAAAAAAAATTGAAAAACCACAAATACATGGAGGTGAAACAACACGCTACTAAAGAGCAACTGGGTCATAGAAGAAATAAAAGGAGAGATCAAGAGATACATAAAAACAAACAAAAAATGAAAATATAACACATTAAAATTTTTGAGACACAGTAAAAGAAGTAATAATAGGAAAGTTCATATCATTATAAGCCTCTCTCAAGAAACATGATCCCAAATAAACAACCTAAATTTATGTATTAAAAAAATATAAAAAGAACAAATGAAGCCTAAAGTCAGAAGGAAGAAAATAATAAAAATTGGTGCAGAATTAAATAAAATTGAGAAATAAAAAGACAATATAATTATTAATACAACAAAACTGATTCTTTTTGAGATTATTAATAAAATTGACAGACCCCTGGCTAGACTCACTAAAGAAAATAGAGAAAGGACACAAACAAACAAAATCAAAAATGAAAGAGGAGATGCTATGACAGATACCACAGAAATACAAAACATCATATAAGAATATTATGAAAAATTATACTCCACCAAATTTAATAACCTAGAAGAAATGGACAAGTTCTTAGAAATATACAATTTTCCTAGACTGAATCATGAAGAACTGGAAAATCTAAATAAACCATTCAACAGTATGAAGATCGAAACAATCATCAAAAACTTTCCAAAAAGTAAAAGTTGAGGACTGGATGCCTTCACCAATTAATTCTACGAAACATTCAAAGATTTAATACCTGTTCCTCTCAAACTTTAGCAAAAAATTGAAGACAAGGCAATACTTCCTAACTCATTTTATGAGGACAAAATTACTCAGATACCAAAACCTGGTAAAGATAAAACAAAAAAAGAAAAAAGAAAACTATAGACCAATATCTCTCATGAACACAGATGCAAAATCCTAAATAAAATATTAGTAAATTGAAAAAAAAACCACAACATATTAAAAAGATTATAAACCAAGATCAATTGGGCGTCATCCCCAGGGGCATAGGGATGTTTCAACAAATGCAAATCGATTAATGTGATACACCACAAGAACAAATTAAAAAATAAGAATCATGTGATCATATCAATAGGTGCGGAAAAAGTCTTTGACAAGATACAGCATCCATTTATGATTAAAACACTTAATAAAATGAGTGTAGAGGGAAAGTACCTCCACGTAATAAAGGTTACATACAACAAAACCTCAGCTAACAAACTAGCTTGCTATCTATAGCCATACACCCAAATTAATTCAAAATAGATCAAAGACCTGAATACAAGACCTAAAACAATAAATTCCATAGAAGAAAACATAAGTATTAAATGCATAGACCTTGGATTTAGAGAAGATTTTATGAATTTGACCTCAAAGGCAAGGGAAGTAAAAGAAAAAATAAATTAATGAACTCTATCAAACTAAATAGCTCTGCACAGCAAAAGAAACCATCAATGAATCAAAGAGGCAACCACCTGAATTGGCGAATATATTTACAAACAATGCCTCTGATAAGGGCCTAATTTCCAAAATATATAAATAACTCATACAGTTCAACAATTAAAAAAACTTACAATCCAGTTAAAAAAATGCGCAGAGGACTTGAACAGACATTTCTCCCAGGAAGACATACAAATGTCCAATAGATATATGAAAAGATGTTCAACTTCACTCACTATTAGGGAAATGCAAATCAAAACAACAATGAGATACCATCACACACCTGTTAGAATGGGTATCATCAACAGGGCATATAATAACAGATGTTGGAGAGGTTGTAGAGAAAACAGAACCTCATACACTGCTGGTGGGACTGTAAATTGGTACAGACACTATGGAAAACAGTATGGAGGTTCTTCAAAAAACTAAGAATAGAATTACCATATGACCCAGCAATCCCTCTTCTAGGTATTTACCCAAAAACTTGAAAACATTTATCCATAAAGATATATGAACTCTGATGTTCATAGCATCACTGTCCACAGTTGCCAAAACATGAAAACAACTGGAATGTCCATCAATAGATGACTGGGTATAAAAGTGGTATGTATATACAATGGAATATTACTCAGTCATAAGAATAGATCAAATACTGCCGTTTGAGACAGCATGGATGGATCTTGAGATTATCATGCTATGAGAAATGTCAGACAGAAAAACTGAGAACCATATGATTTCACTCATATGTGGAATAGAAAACAACGAGTAACAAACTTGACAAGCAACCAGAGACTCATGGACAATGACAGTAGATTTGTGGTTACCAAGGGAAGGGAGAGGGGGAGGTAGATAGGGATAAGAGGGGTCAAATATTTGGTGGTGAAAAGAAATTTAACTGGATGGTGAACACTAAATGTAATATACATATGACATATTATTGGATTGTACACTTGAAACCTACCTGTTTTTATTAACCAACGTCATCCACTTTAATTAAAAAAAAATAATAAAGGATAAGTATGATACTCAAAAGTAGTCCATCTTTGTTAAATAAGAATATAAATATTTATATATTTGTGTGTACTCAGAATGATAAAATATGGTTGATTTGGGTAATGGGATAATAGATTATTTAATTTTCTGTATCATAATTTTGGTTTTCAAATTTTATGTGAAGTAAATGTTACTTTTTGATCAGAAGAGGGTCTTAGGAAATTGGGTTTTTTTTGAGTGTTCCCATTCTTACTTACCATCCTGAAATTAGTAAGTTTTTCCTGGGTCTAGGCCTCCACTCTAAACTGTTATACAGACTTTCTTGCATTCATAGCAGGCCTTGCGCCATGAAAAATTCATCACTTTACATCATGGGCAGCCCTAATTATCTGGACTGTAGTGTGAAGCAGACATTTCCAGGTGCTGGCATTCTGACACTTTTTTTTCCCTTTTGGTTGCTTAGACTTCTGCCCCTGAGGCTGTCATTTCTTTGGTCTATTTCTCAAACCACTGCTCCTGCTGTCGCCCAAAGGGGACATCCCCTGGGGACTCTCTGGACTTTCTTGACTGTGACTCTTGCTGTTTCCCATGGAGGATGTTCCCTGGGACATCACTGGACCTTCTTCTTGGCTATGGCCTTTGCAGTTCTCCAAGAAGTACTTCTCCTGGCGCATCAGTAGACCTTCGCCTTGGCTATGGCTCTTGACGTTCCCCAGGGGGAACATCCTCAGGGACGTCACTGGATCTTCTTCTTGGCTGTGGCTTTTGCCATTCCCCAGAGGTGACATTCCTGGTGACTTCACTAGATCTTCTTCTTGGCTGTAGCTCTTGCCATTCCCCAGGGGAGACATTCCCAGGGATGTCACTGGACCTTCTTTCTGGCTGTGGCTATTGTTCCCCAGGGGGAATGGCCCCTGGGATATCACTGGACCTTCTTCCTGGCTGTGTCTCTTGCTGTTCCCCAGAGGAGTTATCCCTGGGGACCTTTCTGGATCTTCTTCTTGGCTGTGGCTCTTGCCATTCCCGGGGGGGGGCGGCATTACTGGACTTTCTTCTTGGCTGTGGCTTTTGCCATACCCCAGGGGTGCCATTCCTGGTGACATCACTAGACCTTCTTCCTGGCTGTGGCTCTTGCTGTTCCCCAGAGGAGTTATCTTTGGGGACTACTCTGTATCTTCTTCTTGGCTGTAGCTCTCGCTGTCCCCTAGAGGGGTCATCCCCTGGGACTTCACTGGATCTTCTTCTTGACTGTGGCTTTTGCTGTTTCCCAGAGAGTACTTCTCCTGGAGCATTACTGGACATTCCTTCTGGTTCTGTCCTCAGATGTCACCCAGGAAAGTTATCCCCTGGGGACAGATAGGACCTTCCACTTGGTTACGGTTTGTGCTTTCTCCCAGGGGACAGTCTCCCTGTATAGTCTCAGGATATTCCCACTGGCAATAGCATCTCTGGTCACATGGATGGGCCATCTCCTCCTGGGCCCCTACTGCAACCCACAGACCAGGTGAGTAAATTCTCAGAGGAGGCATCTGGGGTACACATGCTGCTGCTGCTGCTGCTGCTGCTGTTGCTGCTGCTGTAGCTTCTGCTTCCATGACTACTGAGGGTGGTAGAGGTATTGAGTATGGGAATCCCATTGGGAATGGCACATGGAATGGGAATGGATGTGGCATTGGCAGAGGTTGTTGTATAGCTTGGACCCAGGGACTTGGGGATCCTGACATGTAAAGCACAGCTGCTGGGGCTGCCATCTGGGTCCTCAAGTGTGCTATGCTCTGCATCTCTGTAGCCACCATCTTGCCCTGTTCCTGTGCATCCATGGGCCATGCTGCAGCTCCACACTGTTGGGTTTCCGGTACAGGCACAGCCTCCTGAGGCAGTGGGTTGGCCTGTGCAGACCTCTCTATCTGGAGCAATCGACCGCGCAACACTCATCCGTCACCTGGCGCAGGGAGGCCAGAGTGCTACATAGCTGCAAGGCTATCTCCTCACACTCCTCAAGTAGCCGCTGCAGCTGGGAAGCCAGAGTCCAGGAAGCCACCTCACACTCTTCCACCTGCTCCTGCAACCAGTGGACTCAGGGTACCTGCTGGTCCCTCTGCCTTGCGGCCACACACACGCTCAAGGCCAGCGCACTCCAGGTGCAGGCTATCTTGAGAGCTCACGGCACCTGAGGGTCAGCCAGGACAGCCCAAAGCCAATCCTCTACTTCATTCCAGAGCCATGAGCAGAAGGTCACATAGAAATCTGGGGTGCCCCCATTCATGAGGATTTCACTGTTGATGAACCTGATCACCTCGTTGTCATGGCTGCCGTGTTCTATTCAACCGATCCCTCACAGACGATGACGCCCCTGCCCCATCACCACAGGTAATGGCTGCGGCTGCCAAGAGGTCCGTCCCTCACCTCTTTGATCTAGTTCAGTCCTAGTCCTGGCCTCCTCCTCGGCCTGTCTCTTCCTTCACTCCTTTGTTTTCCTCACGAAGAGTAAAGCAGACTCCTTCACCACGCCAACCCCTACCAGGCAACGGCGTGACACGTCACAGGGACGACCTATGAGTCACGCCACAAGGACTGCTGGGGCTGACTTCCCTCGGCGGACCGCCCCCTATGGGGTTAACAGGCAGAATGGCTGCACTGGGTACTACAGTGCTCTTGGATGGCCAGGGGGGCACTGTGGAGTTCTTGGAGACACTAATAGTGGCCACTCACACACCCAAGGGCTGCGATGGGAGTTTCTCTCTCTCTCACACACACACACACACACACACACACACACACACACACCTGGCGTAAAAGGCAGAGTGGGTCAGAGGAGGTAAGAAAACTTCTGGGAAAGGAAGGGAGTCGAGGTGGAGAAAACTGGGTTTCAGGACCCCAGGTTCAGAGAGGTTAAGCAGGGTGTGAGCTTGGGTCTACCAAAACCCAGAAAAGGGGCAGGACAGTGAGAGGGAAGACTAAGCTCACACTACTGCCATGGGGCAGGTGATGAGGCTGCATGTTGGAGCAGTAGTAGGAACCAGGTGAAGGAGAGCAGAATACGCCACCCCAAAATATACCACTTTATCAATTGTTAATTTCAAATTAAAGTTACTTAAGAAACAGCTGGTGCCAGAAGGGAAGTTGACCCTCCTTAGTCCCCCTGAAAGCAGAAAATAAACCTCCCATGTGAAAAGAGGGTAGAATACATCCTTATGACCAGAAATAGGGAATTTACAGTCAGAAGGCTGTATTAAATACATACATACATACATACATACATACATACATACATACATACATACATAAACTTGATACTTCTTCACTAATTTTACTACTCCAAACCCAAACCTCTTTGTCTTGTCAATTCTTCACAAATATATCATTTCTTTGGCTAAAAGACATAAAAGCTACCTGCTTTAGTCACTTCTTTGAGTCTCATATTTCCGTGGGGCTTCCATACATATGAAATTTTTCTCCTGTTGATATGTCACATGTTAATTTAATTATTAGACAAGCTAAAGCACATAAAAGGGAAGAAGGAAGAAGTTTTCTGCCCTTACACAGGTTTAGCTATGTACACTGTATATAAGTGAAGAGAGAACCTGGGAACTGTGGAGGATTACAAGTCTAAAACCATTGGCGAAAGCTGGCTAGGGGCACTAGAAAGAGGACTGCTGTGTCGGCTGAGTGGATAAGGAGGAAAGGGAAACCAGACCAAGATGTTATAGGAAGCTATTAAGAACAGAAGGCCACAATAAAGATGAGTTACCTGATTCAATGACAAGGAGGGAAGGACATTTTGGATTTCAGCATTCTAAACGAGCATTCTGATGGATGGTGAGACAGTGTTTATGAATACGTATGGGAGAAGTGCATCATAATGAAGATGTTAGATCTCAGATGTTTATGGGGGTTTCCAGAGGACACCACAAACCATGTAGTGGGGATTTCCATTATGGAATGAGCGAGGAGAACTGCTCTTTACTCATCTTCTCTTTTATCTCTCAATTGCCCTCCTGTCCTCAAGCCTTCTACATAGCTCCCGCCTCTCTTTGTCTCACAGAAGAATGTTCTCTTCTCAACTTTAAAGCTACATCCCTCACCTGTAACTTGGATCCCAGCGTCTCCCATCTACTCAGGGAGTTCAATCCAGTCATAATCTCTCCACTCTCTTCTCTATTTCAGCCCCTTCCTCTCTATTAGCTCCTTCCCAGTTATGGTATGAGCATGTTCAAGCTTCTTCCATGCTGTATAATGTTTTTGTCTACATTTCCTATACCTTAATTTCTACCCATAAAACTGCAGAAAATATTATAAGGGCACCACATAAGGATGACCTTCTCCCCTCTAATAATCCAAATTTCTTATAATTTGACCTTTCTGTAATCTTTGACTCTGATGACCACTCCCTTTTTGAAACTCAGTTCTCCCTCCCTTTTATTCTGTGACACCAAACTCTATTCATTTATCTTCTTTCTGGCCTCTCCTTCTTAGTTTCCTTTTGCTGTCTGCTATGTTTCCATTCACCCTTTAAATACTAGTATCTCCCTGAGTTTTGTCCTCAGACACCTTGATTTTTTTCCTTGGCATGTTCCCTCACTTCAGATACTCTTTCTATGCAATTCCATCTATTCTCTTGTCCTAAGCTACCATCTTTAATTGCTAAATACTCCCAAAACTTTATACCCAGTCCTGTTTTGTGTTTCAAACTTCAGTTTCACCTAACCAACAACTTCCTAGAAACCTTCACCTGGTTCTTCCATAGGCACAAATTCTCCACAAGTCCCAAACTCATCAATACTTCTTTGGACAAATGGCTTCCCAATTTCTTAATGTTTCTGAGGATCTACTTCCTCGAAGAGTGGTTGCAGGGATGAAATAACACATATATAAAGTAATTGTCACTTACATTATATCATTCTTATCAACATTAAAGAGATATTCATGTAGAAAGTGGCATTTTATCTGGGATTTGAACAATGGTTAGAAATTAGATAAGGGCGATGAGGAGGAAAACAAACCCAAACATGACAAAAATATTTCTCTGTCACTTACCAATTGACTGTGTGACCAAGATTGTACCAGGTCACCTTGTTCTGCCATATCCAGTTGAATTATATTGCTCAATACATATGACAACAGCTTCATATGCTTTCATTCTATTATGTTTTTAGAAGCTGGCATCTGGTTCCCCACTTACCTGCCTTCTACATTTAAGCTATTTCCATGGATGCTCTTTACTAAAGCTGCACATCTGATACCTCCAAGGAGCCACCATGTGTGTACTGACATTGTGATATTTCCAGGATCTATGTTGCCTTCTGGGCACTGAAGGCATCATATGCCTCTGATTAGAAACAAAACACGTCCTGTATATGAAGGTGGAAACAGAAGAGTTGTTGGAGAATAGAATTAGGACTATACTTGGAAAACACAGAAAAGTGAAAACACATAGTAAGATATAATTATGAAAGTAAATGATTTTATATATAATAATAGGTCAGTAATAGAAAAATAAAAAGAAAATGGAAAATTCCAGTATGACCCTGAAATATTAAAAAGCCACATTCAATGTGTTTATCTAACTCTCTATATAAGTAACCATAGATAACAGTTTTTTTCCTGAAAATAACGTTTTCATGCTTTAACCAGTTCAACTTGCCAAGTGTTAAAAATAAATATTGTAAGTTGCAGCACCGTTTTGCTACTATATAAAAAAGTATTCAGGTGTAAGAGGAGCAATTGTCAATATTAACAGCTCTAATTTCAAAATTAGCACTAATTATCATTGCTTATTAAGTGAAAGTTAAAGTAATTTCATTTAAACTGAAACTAAAGTTGTTTACTGATGAATTTTTAATAATCTTTTGCATATTTGCATTATAAACAATAGTGATAGTGCTAATAAAAGGTTTCTCTATTATTTATTATTTATACAGTAATAAATAATGGATAACTTTTTAGTACTTACTATGTGCTATTTGCTGTGTATATTTTGTGTGCTTTATTTTATCCAATCATCACCACAGCCATGTGAGTTAAATAACAGTATTACCTCCATTTAAATAAGTAAATTGGGGCTTAAGAAAGCTAACTAATTTTTACAAGGACCTACATCTAGTGTGTGGAAGCCAGCACTAATACCTTGATTGGCGCAAGAACAAAACCCATGCTCCTAACAGTACACTCTATTGCCTACAATGACACATTTACCCAGAAATCTGAAACTCAAACTAAGAAAATCAGCACATGATAGATGTGATAACACATGTGCAAAAGTCATACTAAAAGAGAAAATATCAATCCCAAAGCAAGAACGCAGCTTGCCTATAACCAATTAGGTAACCTAAACGTATTTTTTAAATGACTCAAATGAAGAGGAGTGAACAATATGAAACATAGGAAAGCAGAAGTCAGAGAGTACAAATTTAAATTGGCATTAAAACTTGTACAATGTAGAGGCTATTCTAACCAAAGCATGAGAACATTCCAGTCCCTTGACCAGATCTATCTCTGGAATGGAGACAAATGCATCAGACCACAAGAGTTCCATGACAAAATTCTGTGAAAATTATCTAACCAATTCTAGTTGTTCTCATTATGTGTTCATCTATTGTCTCCTGATAATATTTGGACTTCCGGTATAACTTTCAAGTATGGAGGCTATTCCCTGATCATCAACTTAAGTGTTGCAGACTGCTAGACTGTTGTGTTTATCATGGAAAACAAATAAACCAGCACTAGGATTTTAGACAATGATCCTTTTTGAATTAGACTAATGTAAACTAGTGCCTGAGAAATTGGTGACATTCGGATACTTGATCAAATCGAGCATCTGACCTATAGAGCTGAGAAGTATATCCTGGGATGGGGTAGCCCCTCAAAAATACATCCATCCTAGGTGACAACATTATGTCATGATTCATGCCACTATAGGTTAAACCTACATGACCTAGACTGAGAGAGATAATCATTAAAATTTTGGGAAGTTTCAGATATGCCATTTGCAATGTCTCTCATTGTCTGAAATCCCTACAAATAGTAGAAATTATGAATAATAACATTTGGAAAAAAGCAAGTTTGGTTACATGCTGTAGTAACTGCCAATATTCCACTAAAGCAACACTCCTCTAAGATGTTCTACTTCAAGAATTGACGTTCTATAACTAATGCAAATTAGCGATTGATTTTAGATTGCTATGATAGAATACTATTGCTTTTGATCCAAATGCATAGGTCATCACTGTTCATATTTTAGTGGCAAGATTAGTGTGTTATATTTCCCAGGACAGATATTTCCTACTCTACACCTGAGGTCTTCCTTTTGTTGTTTCCTTCTCATCATTTTTTTTTTTGCCAGAGAGCTAAAAATATTACATTATCCTTCTCAGACTGCAATTTAAGTTGACAGAAGTTGGATGCAATAATATATTCCCATACCTGCTAGTATAGTTGTATGTCAGTGGGGCAAATAAACCCATGAGTTATAGTAATCCATTTGCTATCAATCCAGACCACATTACAAATGGTCTTATGAGTGATGTTATAATAAAAATAGAAGAAATGTCTTTTATGTCTATCCATTTCACAGGTTAATGATGCTCCTACAACCTTTCTTTTATTAATAAATACCATGGATCTGCAACTCACAGAATTATGTAAAGAACTCAAAAAGAGTTGTTTTTTTTAATCTGTATCATGTCTTGGAAGTTAGAAATCTCAGTCCTCTTCTAACTGCTCTATGTAAAAGAAAGAAAACATCCTTCTATTAATGATAAATATTTCTCTCTTAGCTTCCCACTCAGTCCTCGATTTCCTGGACTCCAGATTCTGTACTCATTACTGTTTCATAACTGATCTTGCTAAGGTTACAAATAGCTTCCTAATTGTAAGCTATTTCTCAATTGTAAGGAAGATTTGTCAATGCTCACTTTACTGAATTTCTCCTATATTGTTAATGACAATCAATCCTTCTTTCCTGAAATTCTTTACTCTTGATCTCCAAGACACCACATTCCTCGAGTTAATTTAGTATACCTCCAATCATTCTTTTTTTTTCTTTTGTGTGTTCCTATTCTTGCATTTGCTCAGTAAATATTGCTGTTTCCCAGAGTCTGTATCATTACACTTATCTTCTCATTTTACACCTTTCCCCAAGTTCTCAACCTTTACCTATATATTCCTAACTCCTATATCTACATCTCTAACCTATATCACTCATTCAGGTTTAAGATTAATACTGAATGCATGCTAAATGTCTTCCATAAGCATTAATACCACAACTAAACTCACCTGTAAATACCATATCACCTACTCTGCTCCCTTCGTAATTATTTGATAGCTATTGTCAGCATCTACTCAGTGACCAAACCTAGAAATTTCAAAGTCATCAAGACTCTTCTCTCTCCTTCTCTCCCCCCTATATCCAATTGGTGGCTA